GATGAAATTGACTTCCGAGTAATCTCGCGAACACGTTCAGGTATTGGACTTATGCACGCAAAATGGCCGCGAAAAATGACAGTTCACTGTGTGATAATGGCATGTCCGAGGAATAAGTCTGGAAGCACTAACATAACTCGATAATTCTTCCGAACGAGGAACTAAAAATGTCCCTTAACAATTGTACGGTTAAATTTAGTTATAACAAAATTTCAAGTTTCTCTAAAAGTTCATGATTGAGTGCAGACCATCATCACAGTCGGAACCAGGATGTTGGCGCAAATCACACACCGCCCCCTGGCTTCATGTCTTATGTGACCATATTAAACAAATTGACTCACCGAACGTAAACCAATGTTATCTCGACAACCTAAGTAAAAGAAGGTATATATTGTGTATAGGTAGAAGAGTAATGGGAAAAAAACTACATAGCCTGAGATCTTGAAAAACGGTGCACTTCCGGTGAATGGGCGGCGCCATTTTGTTTGTTTAAGAAATTACAAGTATAAAAATCATCATTAGAATGCTGTTCACTGTTAATGCAATGGTGTTTGGACAACAGACCGAAAATAGTTCAACTTTGAATAGTGTTTTGCGACATTTTGGTCACGGGCACTCGAATCGTGCGTGGTGACATCTTGAATTCCGCGTAATAACTCAGTACTACAGGTACTGTGGTCAATTCTATTTAACATTAGTTTGTTCTATCTGAGAATATATGCGATATTCGGTATTTCACAGTCAGCTAGCATACACGTGGTAATACAATTTTATTTTATATACAGTAGTTTAGAAGGTCACGGGGTTCTCCGAAAGGGCATACTAGTTTATAGTATGGTTCTTAGTAATACTACAGGGCGTCACGGTCAATAAGGTGTATGTTAAAGTTTGTACAATAAACTCGCCTAGATCAAAAATAACGTCATCTTCCGGTGAGGGCAGTCTTCCTATACTCCATTTCGATAGATCGTTCCAGTTACCACCCACGGGTTCTTTCCATCTTACAACGTCGGCCGTAGAGGGCGACACATATATAAGGAAGAAGACTATCCACTGACACAATCTCCCAGTTTTGTCCACCTTCAAGAAATGAGATAATTTTCAATTGCGTTATATTCAAGGAAACAATACTCTGAAGCAAACTTTTACAAATAATCACCAGAATATTTCATACATTTTTATTCTCGAAGCGGACATTCATGTTGGCCGCCTGGCAACCAACACAGTGAAAACAAAGACCGAAAACTTTCAGTTATTTCTTTGTTTGCTCTTTACACTACTGAATAAGATGCACGTGACTTTATGAACATAAATGACGATGGTTCGACTTGAATCCCATCTGCCCATAGCAACGCAAGTGGGTAAAATCACAGTCCCTCTGGTCAAATGCATTGTTTATTTATACAAACTTCGAACGCATGCGCTCACAGCCACAATGATTGGTCCATTCTTCAAGAATCGAATGAGTGCGCGCGGCCTGCTCGTATTTATCGCGAATACGCCATCAACGGCAAACTCGATACTTTGAGAATGGCACATTTTTTCGAATTTGTACACCATTTACCTTCAGCTCTGCCCGCACCTCATGCCACTACACCACATCCAATTCATTAAAAAATTTCACCTAATATAAATATATACAAACAGGACTGTGATACAAATAACGTAATTAAAGGGCGGTGGTCGTCGCGCTGCCCATGTGCGACATAGATTTTCCCACAATCCAAAGCGCTCTTCTGATGGAAATCACAAGTATGAAGTTTCACTCAGGTGCGACTTGCACTAATTACCGCCGGTGACTCATTCGATACCTTCGAATCACCTAAAAACGCCTAATTAAAGGTTGGTAACGTCTCAGTTTGTACTCGTTTATCTGCGCAACAGTCAAAGTCGCCATCTTTGTTTATATGAGACCCATATATCTTACGCATGCGTAGCGCGACCACTACCGCCCTTTAACCTACAGCCAATGCAGAGGATATTTGTTTTAGTTTAGTATGACAATTGCATACGGGATTTGGTTTCTGGTAATTGCGAACGTCCGCTTCATGCCAGTCAAAACTAATTTCGGGAAATATGTTATATTCAAAAGAAGTAATTAATATATAATTATAATAATTAAATTGGCCGTCGGGCAGCGTGTTCGTATGTTGTGTGAACAAACATTGTATTTCACATGCTAGACACGCCGCATCGGGCCCACGTCGCCAACTGAATTGATGCTATCCTAGTATGTACAGATGAGATGAAATAATCTTTACTCTTTTACGCGATATAGGTTTAAGGTAGCAACAACAAAAACTTGTTTTCTGTCTTTTTCTTAAGCCCGTGAAAAACGTTTCTTCAAACTTATATAAATCATTTTGACTAGGCTATAGCTAATTAACAATTCATTTAATTAGAATGCTACACAAATGAGTGTTTGAAACACTAAAATATTGTAATCAGTAAGTGCATTATTAGGAGTAACCCATTTGAAATTTGGGAGAGATGAATTTTTGGCAAAAAAATATGTGGGCTGAAATCGCTGAAAAAAATCAGCAGGCTCAATAATAAGACAAGAAATTCCCTCTAAACAGAAGTTCGTTACTAGTCCTCCTGTTTTATAAAAATATGGTTCAGACATGCTCTTTGAAACAAATCTCTGCCACAGTAACCTAAGTGTGAAAACAAAATTGACTAATTTTCTCCAACTCCCTCTCAGATATTAAAAGGCGGTAGTCGTCGCGCCGCGTCCCGTTCGATATGAGACTCATAGCGACGTATACAACGCGTGTAAAATACATTGTTTATTTACATGAAATTCGAGCACGCGCTGCGCGACGACCACCGCGCTTTAAATGGGTCACCCCTTGACGAAAGACATGCGACATCATCGAACTACTTATCATTGAATAGAGAACCTTTTGTTTACACATTAAATTGTACTTGTAGAATAGTAGTTGTGATATACATGTTTTAGTCGCCACGGTGCGGATATGACTGATAGGTTGCCCTTTGCCTAGGGTCACCTCTAGACAAATCTTACTTAATGGGTTCGGCGATCAATCACGCCGTGCCCCTATAAAGATTACGTCCTGGTTGCAACACACCTTAATTCGTAGAATTCGGGTAAGTGAAAGGAATAGGTGACAGCATAAATGCAGCTTCTGCACTGAAATTACCTAGGATTTATTTGCGCCATTAGTCCTGCTGTTTCGAAAAAAAAAACTGCGGGAGCTCAGATTACGGTGTCCATTTCACTCACAAAAACACGAGGAAGTGTAGGTCATTGACACGGATTATCTACAAGGCGGCCATTATCCGCAAACTAGTGAAAAACACGTGTTACTCTGTTAGCTCAATGTACACCTCAGCATATCACGTGACAATTACATAACGTTAGTCTTATACATACGTAGCTTATCACGATTCTACGTTACTGAGGGACTGACCATTGGACACTCTAGGAGGGGATTATATAGACAAACTGTGCAAATTATGTTTTTATTATTACTTACTTTTCCCGCTTTATCAAACGTGTGTGTATTATGGAGGCAGTTCTTGTTTAGTTTTTTTTTAAATATTTTCTGTGCAGACTGTTTTTCCTCTCTGAATCACCACCCCGAGTTTCTGATGGTCGATCCCTTACAACAAATATCCATAGACTACGCATCAGCTATATATTTATAATATTGTGTTGAGAAATAATATCGTAATTATTCTTTAGATTGTACTTTTAACGATATCTACTATATTCTATATTTCAACCACTGTGCGTGCAGGCGTAACCGTTCCCACGACTGTCCGGACATTAGTCACTATAAATCTCAGTGTACCCTGAATGTATTTACTGAGACAGTTATTTTACGGTACATCTATCATTCATAAAGTTCAAAGTGAAATGACCCGTATCTCACTGCCTCTTGTTAGAATGCGTTCAGTGAAACAGAAAACACTGTTGTTTTTGTAATGTAATGTAATGATTCTTTTGGAGAAAGCACAGCTATTCCGAGAATGGTTCCTGCTATAATTACCAGTCGTATTACCTGGAACACTGTATTGTGTGATGAGGTATGTCCATTGCAAATATGCAAACACAGGCCACTCAGTACTCTCCATATTTTTAAATGTTGATTTCGAATAGGGGGAACTTAAGGTAAATAAGATATTGTAAATCTAACTACAGATAACTAATCTAACTTTGATATTGGAAGTAAAATTGTGCAAGTCTGCAGAATTTTGCTCGGTAAATCATATAAGGAACCGTTGTGGTACAGGGTGAGCTAGACGTGCATACAATCTCTTGTTCATTTTCATTGATTTTTGATCTGGCTACATGTGGACGTTGAGAGATTTCCCCTCCGCTTCAAATGGTCAACCCTGCATTTGTTTATAAAAATTGTTTACCGTATCTGATTTGGTGAGCAAAATGTTGCTGACTTACAAAATGTGGTTCATTGAATGTTGCTCACCAATTACCCGCTGGTTAGGGGCCCATGGTAATTGATACAAGGCAAGAACAAGTATGTTTCCGGGTCCCTCGTCAAATTGAGGCCACGCGGTTATCGGCCATGCCACTTTTTGGTCAGACTTATGGTATTGATACTGCGATGGAACATATTTTTTCATCGCTGTGTCTTCGATGCAATGACATGAATTGTGTTGAAAATCTCACCTTTCTCGCCATTATCCGTAGCAAGGTTATCGTAGTGGAATCTTAAACAGTCAGTAAACTCTTGACTCAATCTTCGATGCGTATGGATAATGCATCCTTCGCTGGACATCAACAAAATGGAAGTTCAGCTAAACACAATAATAGTGACAGACTTGAATTAAAACTGGGTGTGTTAATTAAAGCACTGCATATTCATCAACATTCTGTCTACACGTACCCCCTAACGCAGTAAGCAAACACACAGAAAAACGTAATTGGATAAGATATGTGGTATCTACTGTCACTTCTTGGGGCATGGCATGGTTAGCTTAGGTGGACTGGAGCTCAGTCGATTTATGTTTAGAACGAACACAGTCCATCGGTCAGAGAAACTGTGAAACGAGGTATAGTTTTAGAACGACTGTGTCAGTGATTGAACGACACTACTGTACTGTGAGTGAAACAAAAAAAGTCGTCTGTACTACCAGAAGATTGGAGGAGATTGGGCCGGCTGGTAAGTTAACAATAAATCGGACAGGTTTTATATCACCCGTGTCATATACATCATATATACGCTATCTTGGTGACCATTACTCGGTCATTGACTCTATTATTTGCAGACGATATGTAAGCATGATGACTTTCATCGGGCATTCCTTCCATGGGCCTGTTGAAACAAACATACGAGTCGTGGTGTAGTCACGAGATTTATTGCTGGGATAGTTGGTGGTTTCGTGTGCAAACCTTTGAATGGAGCACGCCACGAGGGGCGGGGGGGGGGGCTGGAAATCGTGCTTGCAAATGTTACGTGATGGCTGAATTACCTAACAGAATAGCTGCGGGTCCAATACACTTGAGTCGATCTTTGTGACGGTAGTTTAGTCATCTCTGATTACTGTGACGTTTGATGTTAATTTTGGATATCGACACGTGACGGAAGGTCCGTTATTGTTGTCACTAACCACAGGGAGTTGGCATAACCATGGCATAACTTGAGTGAAAGCCCCTGTTCCTATGCAACCAATGATCAACAGTTTATTTGGCGTTTGTGTTACAACGCTTTACATTATGCAAAATTTAATCCGTGATTACACATCGAAAATGACCCCTCATAGCCAAAGAGGTCAAGTACGATGTGTCGAGAGCTGTAAATCTGTAGCGTAAACAATAAATAAACCGATAACGAGCATTGGTTACATAGAAACAGTAGACTTTGTATTACAATTTCACTTAGGTTGCGACGCTGAAGTGTATCAAAAATAAAAGTACACTATTTTATGACGCAATCGAAACTATGACTGATCGATACGATGTTTACTAAGCACCTACCAGAGCGAAAACTTGAACAAAATCGATTGTTTTGATGTTGTTTTTGTGCGTGTATGTTAATTACCTAATCCATGCATATTAATTACTTATTTTGCCGAATGATTAGTCAATTTTCGGCCTTTCCACTGATATATTAAGTACTAATACTCACATTTCAAAGAAACTTGGTACGCTTGGTATGCTCAGACCTGATTAGCATAATACTTGATAATTTTCCGAGTCGATATCTCAAGTTCAAATCTCATTTCAGTGATACATAGATGGTCTGTGACATTGCGCAAACCATATCAGTTTTACATTAAAATATGTGCATATTAATCACCTGATATGCATAAGCTATTATAATGCCATTATAATAGCTTTTCCATCAATAGCACTTATCATCTTATTTCAATGAATCTTGGTACAAAAATGCGACGATCTAGTTAGTAAAAATGTATTTTCTGTAAGTATAATAAACTTCAATAATGTGAATCACATTATCAAATAGTAGATAAATATTTTGAATTAATTAATACTCTCGACACTCGGGAGTTCTTTCTTTGATTTGGGAGGTAGGGGGTAGGCACAAGTAATAATGGCTTAGCGCCTTCTTGCGAGACATGACCATACATATAAAAACGAGGATATGTGTTTCTTTTTAGCACTTTTAATAAAATTTATCAACGCTGACATGGATTTACATGTGACCTGTAACTAGATTTACATATGACCTATAACTAGATTTACATATGACCTGAAACTAAATTTACATATGACCTGTAATTAGATTTACATATGAACTATAATTAGATTTACATATGACCTGTATCTAGATTTACATGTGACCTGTAACTAGATTTACATGTGACCTGTAACTAGATTCACATGTGGCCTGTAACTAGTTTTACGTACGACCTGTAACTAGATTTACGTACAACCCGTAACAAGATATACATACGACCTAATACTAGATTTACATATGACCTGAAACTATATTTACATATGACCTGAAACTATATTTACATATGGCCTGAAACTAGATTTACATATGACCTGAAACTAGATTTACATATGACCTGAAACTAGATTTTCATATGACTTGTAGCTAGATTTACATATGGTCTGTAACTAGATTTACATGTGATCTGTATCTAGATTTACATATGACCTGTAACTACATTTACATATGACCTGTTACTAGATTTACATACGACCTGAAACTAGATTTACATACGACCTGAAACTACATTTACATATGACCTGTAACTACATTTACATATGACCTGTTACTAGATTTACATACGACCTGAAACTAGATTTACATACGACCTGAAACTAGATTTACATATGACCTGTAACTACATTTACATATGACCTGTTACTAGATTTACATACGACCTGAAACTAGATTTACATACGACCTGAAACTAGATTTACATATGGTCTGAAACTAGATTTACATATGACCTGAAACTAGATTTACATATGACCTGAAACTAGATTTTCATATGACCTGTAGCTAGATTTACATATGTTCTGTAACTAGATTTACATGTGATCTGTATCTAGATTTACATATGACCTGTAACTACATTTACATATGACCTGTTACTAGATTTACATACGACCTGAAACTAAATTTACATATGACCTGTAAATGGATAGCTAGATTTTATTATTTTGTTTTTTGACAGGTTTACCACTGATATATGACAAAATGGCCGATGAAGAGGAGATTTCAATGAAAGATATACCAGTTGTTGTCCCTGCAGGTAGGCCCACAATTAACAAATGTTATCCAGTGTCAGCATACTATGTTAGGGCCCTGTCACATGACATGCATCTCACCCCAGTGACACCATTGTGTTTCCACAAAAATACAACTTTTGAACATATTCAAACATTCTGTAATCAAAATGAATAATGAATTATCTTCGGGTAAAAAGATTTCGAGTTGTAGCCACGACCGTTACTGACACAGTCGTAAGTTTCCGGGTCTCCGACTTCTCCCGAAGTGTTACTGCGCTACCAAACGTCAAATAAACGGAGGAAGCCGCGCAACTCGTAGCTGTAAAACTATTCTCTTTAAAGCGGGAGGGTCGTCACCTGCGCACGCGCGGGAATTGAGTCCCAAGCGATGGTAACAACACACGCTAAAAACGCAAAGGCTCATGGGTTTGTTGTTTGTAAACAATGGCACGCTATGGTCATCTGACGCATGCGCAGGTGACGACTCCCTCGCTTTAAAAAATGTGTGAATAACAAGTATCCTAAATAAAAATCGTGATTTTGCCACACATTTGTAGTTGCGTTTATGTCATGGGTAAATTTAAATTAACGTGTTGGTGGAATCCTTACGAGGCAAATTCAGGGTCTAAATACATGCATGTGTAGTGCCTCTACGGAGAAACCCTGCGATTATTGAGTGATAGTAACCAGACAATTAAAACTGTACAACATGTATCAAATATTTATTTGTGCGACTCGCTTTCTCTTCGCCCTGGATGATTTTCTCTGGTTGATTTAGACACAGAGCGAACTAATTATACCAGTGTAGGATAAAATGGTAGGTCGCTAAATTAATATACGAGAAATAGGTCCGGACTTGCGTAAATGTATACAGTTTTTATACGGTATATATTTGTCGTCCAAAATTAAAGGGGAACTAAATAGAGCCTAATTTGGTGTTTGTATTTATCACGTTATGTATATTGATTATAAATTTGGAAAAAAAATGAAAAAAAAATGATTATCTTCAGAGTTATGATGATTTAAATATGAGAAACCATAAACTTGTGAAGGACTTCCGTTTGCGCCATCTTGCCATAAAACGCCCTCATGAGGTATAAACAGGAAAGGTAACAAAGCATGATGACGAAATAGTATCTGATTAAATATAAACAACTTAGGGAGCCATAGTTGGCTGTACTAGTGAATTGACTTCTAGTCTAGGTTGTTTCGACTTTTAGTACGTTAATGTTATTTACAAGCGTATCAACATACAAATATTATGGATGTGCGATTGATCGAGGCAGGCATTTTGTTTTGTCTAACTGTCTAATAAATGCTGTTTCCAGTTTTGCACTGTACGTGCAAATTATTTAAAAGTATGGATGCTGGAGTATGCAATCTTGGGTTCGTAGGATGGTGGTGGAAACATTTTCATCCATGTATTCACGGGGCTGCACTGGCAAATCATGGGACAAGTGTCACAGGAACACCAAGCAGATTGTTCACAGACTTCCGTGTAATTTGAAATAAAACTATCATCCGAACAAGGGGCATCGTCGACGATATACTCTCATCACTCACACTGGACTGATTGAATCTTCATAGTATACCGTACTTCCCTGATCATAAGCCCGGGGCATGAACAAGTAAGGGAAAAGTAAGGGATGAGCTTATACTCGAGGACCAACTCAGAAAAGATGATTTTGTTTTGGGGTTAAACACTGTAACCATTTTGTCAATACTTATTTTTGAAGAAAAAAAAATGCATCATTGATTTCCACGACACTTACAATGAAGAACCAAACACGTTCATAAAACAAACACACATTTTATTACAATACGATTTACATACCGTCTGAATTCACGGTGAAATAATGGGTAGGGTCTGTGAGAAAACAGTGGACGAAGGCATTTATCATTATCTTCGTTTTGGTATGTTTTCGTACGCAAACTCTCGATGCAAAGCAATTTTTCACCATGAGGTTTTTCAGCACGATTTGACCTGTAACAACTTCCTTTGACCTAACAGGTCATGTCTTTCATTACCAATCAAAATGATGTGTCGTAATGATGAAATTTTCCGATTATTGACGATGATTTTTTAACGCAATGCGGAAGTGAATTATCGCAATGTTAAAATGCGATCTGTAGCACTGATTGCAACAACAAAAAACGATGATTTTTTCCCCTAAAGCCTGGCGATTCGCAATTTCCGAAAAGTAAACGACGGTTGATAGTAACCATGGGTAAACTGAGTGTGGAGAAAGAATTTAAACACCTTTCTCGGTCGCCAACATGTCACATCGTTCAAACCCTAGGTCTTTCATGATAGTCTCAAAGTAAGCCGTGCCCAATACCAGGTACACGACTTAACGATCACATTTTTGGCTTTTCGAAAGCTACTACTCAAAGAAATATGGATTACTCCAGTATTGCAACATCGGGGTTCATCCTGAGTAAATGACAGAATAGAAAAGATGCGAACCACGTTGTGTACTTTCGCCATGCACTCTGAAATTAATGCGAGTTTTCTCATAAACTACCAAACTACCATGCCAATCACGATTATTATGACTGTTATGAAATGAAACACACTTTTTACACGCATATATATAAGAATATCGTTGACGCCCAGTAAAAACACTCCGGGCTTATAATTGTGAACGCCCTCAATTCGATAAATACCTAGTAAAAATAGAGGGATGGGCTTCATACTCGGGAGGGGCTTACGATCGGGGTAGTACGGTATTTGTGCATATAAAAGTTGAGTTTATACTAGTAGTATACAATGCTTGGCAGCATGAACGGCGATGTACAATGGTGTATACGAATGCGATCAGATACTAAAACGTCATAGCTTTTAAAAGTACCCGGATGTTAAATATGTTCGTTCGTTATTTAGTCCCCTCCATGAATGGCCTCCATGGTGTTTAATTGCAAGCACTTCAAATGCCTATCCAAGCTACAGTTATAATTAAAACAAAATAAAATCACTGCAATATTATTTCGAATACAGTTTAGAATATACACAACTATAAATTAAGGCCGCATTTAGGTTCGCTTTAAGTGTAATTTACATTGTTTATGCAGTGTTTATAAACACAGTATAGCTTTGTGATACATTGTATAGTTCATGCTACTTTTACTGGAATATCATGTGTCAGGGTCATAGGTCAGATACAAGTAGTTCGACGACTTGCCATTCATAACGTCTGGTTGTATCATTTTATACTCCAATATTACAATTTAACGGTCAATAGACAATAAATTGCAACCAGAGAACAGTGCCACTGTCATGTCTACGCTGTGCAGCATTGCCCCCCCCCCCAGTGACGTCTCAGGGAAGTACTTGTTCGAAATTGAGGACTATTAAAGAGCTACGTTATGAGATGTAATAAATAGCAGATAGTAGACAGCAACTCAGTATTCACATACAAATAAGTGATTTTAAAAACTTTTCTTTGCTAGAGAACATTCCAACCATTAACCCAATAACACATCCCATTTCCGGTTCATACATATATAAAGTATCACAGAATTCATTGCTACTTTATGAATCTGTTCACCTCTGCTGTTTTGGTCTTTAACGAATTCAGTTGGTCTTGCAGATACTAGGTTGCAGACTCCACTACGTTCCTATAAAAGAGAACCTGTTTCTCCTGATAAACAGGATAAATCCAAACGTGGAACTGTGATAGCATTGGCGGTGATGGGTGTAGTGATATTTATTCTGCTGGTAGCTCTCATTGTAGTAGTGGGTAAGATACTTTGTGAATTGTATTTGGATACATGTTCATTGCTCACATCCATCCATTGATTGAAGGTCCTTGATAATGGGAGATAAACTTAAAGGGCGGTGGTCGTCGCGCGGCGCATGTTCGACATTTGTGTTGATAAACATTAATTTCCCCACAATGCAATGCGTTCTTCTAATGAAAATCACAAATGCGAGTTTTGACCTGGGCGCGACTTCATTCACATAAAAAAAATATCTAATTAAAGCTTGATAACATTTCAGTTTGTACTCGTTGATCTGCGCAACAGTCAAAGTCGCCATCTTTGTTTATATGAGACCCATATATCTTGCGCATGCATGGCGCGACGACTACCACCCTTTAATCCTTCATCCAGGTACCCAGGCAATAAATCGTAAATCACTTGACTTTAAACATGGCCCCGTGATTGGATTCTCGTTTACGATTGGTCATTAATTGCTTATTGAATCATTATTATTATTCTTTTGTATTTTAATTAGCATTCTCTTTAGTACTGTATATGGACTCAAAACAAGCACCAGTTGAAGTTCCAACACCAACAACTGACTTTTTAACAACGCCAGGATCAGCAGGATATGCGACGAAACAAACAATATCAGAAACAGAAACAATATCCACAACACAACAATCAACAACTAGTCGATTAGTCCCAGGTAGTGTGTTCATCTAATAATGTTTGTCCGTACATTGTATATAATTTCAGACAACTAATAAACAGACTGGCAACAAGGCGTTTTCTATTAAAGTAATGCGTGCTACGTTTATTGGTTGTCTGCGATGTATTGGGCTTCATTCTAATGACCATATCGCATTGATTATATCATAATCATCACAGTGATTTTGTTACCATGAACCAATGATTATTTTGATAATCACCATGTCATAGTGATTCTGGCAGAATCAACATGTCACAATGATTATTTCACATTGATTTTGATAATCACCATGTCACAGCATAGACCCTCCAGTACTGGAAGGTCTATGGTCACAGTGATTATTGCGCAGTCCAAAGCGGCTTAAAATGGACAAATCAACGATTATGTTGAACAAATCCAAAAATGTAAACATGTGGGTGTTATAGGGAGTAACACTACATGACCTTGGTGCAAACGGTCACTAAGAATGAAAAGCGTAAGAACTACGACACTTGCCATTCAAATATAATTGTGAACAGTTGTAGTGTCTTCTATCATCACGCCCACTGTTCAATGTATCCCATGGTTGCATAGTTAAAGCGCGGTGGTCGTCGCGCAGCGCGTGTTCGAATTTCATGTAAATAAACAATGTATTTTACACGCGTTGTATACGTCGCTATGAGTCCTATATCAAAGAGGACGCGGCACGGCGACTGTCGCCCTTTAAGGGGATCAGTAGACGGCAGGGAATCGAACACTGTTTGAAAATCAAAACGAGTTTCGTGGTTCTCCCGCTCTACGCGTGATCTCTTCTACCCTCTGCGGTCTGCAAACTTTCATGTTGTGTACTTATCCAATGTTAGATATATCAATTGGAGAACCAGTTCCAATATTAGTACCAGCTGGAAGTTTTCAATATTTCACTGACAATCTAGACGAGACTTCAGATGTTACATTTTCACTAAGGGATACCGGAAGTGACGTCATTGTCGCGGTGTACGGTCGACGAGATTTGGCTCCCACGCATGTGCAGTACGACGTTGTGGAGACATTGATATCGAAAAGGTATTTACCCCTCCTAGTGAGAGTCGTCATTCCCCAAAATGGCGTTTTACTAATTTCACAGAAAGGCATATAACAACTATGTTAAAATTGTATTTTCTGCTCACGTGTTTTGAAAGTCTTTAATTAATAAAATAAGTCATGTACAACAGTACTTACAGCGTTTGTGGGTTATGGTGTTATCTTATCACTCAGCCTAAAATCCCGATATGCAACGCGGTTTTAAATTTTGCATGTGGTATATATTACATCATACATCAATGGCTACGCACAAAATATATCCGAAAATACAACTTTAAATGGGAAGTCAATGTCATAATGGTGGTAGCTCACGTGTGTAAGGTAAACACAGAAACACAAATTGGAGGAAACATTTAACAACTATTTGTAGATTTGTGGCTATTATGATATGATATTATTATTATATAATATTATATATTCATACATACGCATATTATTGATATGTGTCACGCAGAACGTGATTAGATTTTGTGTAAACAAATAATAAACAAGCTCCCGGGCGACTGAATTGGGTCTTTAACCAATTATGTCATATGAAATACACACCTCTCACTAATGTTCACCTGAGAAAAAGGAGTAATTCACTAATATTTTGTTTTCTTGTTTGAAGTAGACCAAGTACATGGAAACGCGAGACCAGTGACGCCACTACTCAAATCTCGTTCTATAATTTAACCCCCGGTAAATGGGTGTTTGGTATATTCAATGGCGCTGACGAGGATTTAGAATCGGTTATAGTAATGGAACAATCAGGTCAGTGAATTATCTGTTCCGGCGAAGAAATCGTATTTATATAGACGATTTAGTTCATTTATTTGTTTGTGATTATTGCGATCTATTAAATTTTTAAAGAGATATTCGATCGCGCAGACGCAAAAAAGACGCCTGTTTCGGTGTAGGTTACATTTTACTAACAACTAGCTTTCATTGATATTCTTGTCACATGGTATTCAATTATGTGGTCATATTAACACTGTACACTTAGGCCAGGATAACTATTTTTACTATATCACACTTTTACCTCAAACAACATCAATTTAACATAATTTATGTTTGAGATTGATGTTTCACATATTTGCAATAGGTGGAAATGCAACTTGTATTTATTAAATCTCTGTAATTGTTTTCTATGCAACTACAGATAGTCAGTTACCGTGTCCAATGGATTGTCTAGGTCGTGGGGATTGTATTAGCGGTGTGTGTCGATGCGTAGATGGGTGGAGAGGAGACGATTGCTCAGAAGGTAGATACAATGATTTATTAACCATTCCTTATTATAAAGACTTGTTACACTGTCGCAACTAAGCAATGTGTATATGTACTCGTAAACATCGAGTGTAACACATTTACTAACAATCCTCAATCTATAATATGCACCAAGCATGCCCCCATCCAACGTGTTTCACAGTTACAACTCTTATACGACTAATCAATATATATATATATATTAAAAACTTATATTGCCAGTTCCTGAGGTTTCACACATCGTTTTATGACCGTAATGTGTGTTTGTTTTCAGCGGAGCCAATTATCTGTTCACCCGAAGACTGTAGTGGGCATGGTTATTTTAGAGATGGCGCATGTCAGTGTTATGATGGTTGGACAGGAGACAAATGTCAAATTGGTAAATAAATTCACTGTTTTGTTTTTTTAGCTCCGCTGTCGACTTTGTCGAGCGGAGCTTATCATATGAGTGATTGTCCGTCGTCGTCCGTCGTCCGTCGTCGTCGTCCGTCGTCGTCCGTCGTCCGTGTCAATGTTTTACTTTTTCGACTTCTTCTTGAAAACTACAAGCCTGAATGCTTTGATACTTGGTGTATATGTACCTTGGGTAGACCTCTCTCAGATTTGTTCATTTCATGATGATATCTTCAATTCTCTAATTTTGGTGAATATTTTTGTCATTTTTAGTAAAAAGTGATATTTTCGACTTCTTGTTGAAAACCGCAAGTGCAATTGCTTTGATATTACATATATAGGTACTACATGTGGACCTCTCTCAGATTTGTTTATTTTGTAATGATATCGTCAATTCTCTAATTTTGGTGAATATTTTTGTCATTTTTGGTAAA